TGACGTCTTTCATCCACTTTGAGTTTATCTTTGTGAATGGTGTTAGAGAATGGTCGAGTTTCCTTCTTCTGCATGTGGCTGTCCAATTTTCCCAGCACCATTTATTGAAGAGACTGTCTTTTTTCCATTGCATGTTTTTTCCTGCTTTGTCAAAGATTATTTGACCCTAGAGTTGAGAGTCCATATCTGGGTTCTCTATTCTGTTCCATTGGTCTGTATGTCTGTTTTTGTGCCAGTACCATGCTGTCTTGGTGATCACAGCTTCGTAATAGAGCTTGAAATTGGGCAACGTGATGCCCCCAGCTTTGTTTTTCCTTTTCAACATTTCCTTGGCGATTGAGGGTCTTTTCTGATTCCATACCAATTTTAGGATTGTTTGTTCCAGCACTTGGAAAAATGTCATTGGAATTTTGATCGGGATGGCATTGAAGTTATAGATTGCTCTGGGTAGCATAGACATTTCAACAATGTTTGTTCTTCTGATCCATGAGCATGGAATATTTTTCCATCTTTTTGTGTCTTCTTCAATTTCTTTCATGAGTGTTCTGTGGTTCCTAGAGTATAGATCCTTTACCTCTTTGGTTAGGTTTGTTCCGAGCTATCTTATGGTTTTTGGTGCTATTGTAAATGGAATCGTTTCTCTAATTTCTCTTTCTACGGTTGCATTGTTAGTGTATAAGAAAGCAACTGATTTCTGTGCCTTGAAATTGTATCCTGCCACATTACTGAATTGCTGTATGAGTTCTAGTAGTTTGGGGGTGGAGTCTTTTGGGTTTTGCACATAAAGTATCATGTCGTCTGCGAAAAGAGAGAGTTTGACTTCTTCTTTGCCAATTTGAATACCTTTTATTTCTTTTTGTTGTCTGATTGCTGTTGCTAGGACTTCTAGTACTATGTTGAGCAATAGTGGTGAGAGTGGGCATCCTGGACGTGTTCCTAATCTTAAGGGAAAGGCTCTCAGCTTTTCCCCATTGAGGATGATATTCGCTGTGGGTTTTTCATAGATGGATTTTATGAACTTGAGGAATGTTCCCTCTATCCCTATACTCTGAAGAGTTTAATCAGGAAAGGATGTTGTATTTTGTCAAATGCTTTTTCTGCATCAATTGAGAGGACCATATGGTTCTTCTCCCTCCTCTTATTAATGTGTTCTATCACATTGATTGATTTGTGAATGTTGAACCACCCAGGCATCCCGAGGATAAATCCCACTTGGTTGTGGTGGATGATCCTTTTAATGTATTGTTGGATCCTATTAGCTAGGATTTTGCTGAGGATTTTGGAATCCATATTCATCAGGGATATCGGTCTGAAATTCTCCTTTTTGATGGGAGTCTTTGCCTGGTTTGGGGATTAAGGTAATGCTGGCCTCACAGAATGAGTTTGGAAGTTTTCCTTCTGTTTCTATTTTTGGAAAGAGCTTCAGTAGAATAGGTATTATTTCTCCTTTGAATGTTTGGTAGAATTCCCCAGGGAATCCATCAGGCCTTGGACTCTTGTATTTTGGGAGGTTTTTGATCACTGCTTCAATCTCGTTAGTGGTTACTGGTCCATTCAGGTGTCAGTTTCTTCCTGTTTCAGTCTTGGCAGCTTATAGGTTTCCAGGAAGGCCTCCATTTCATCCACATTTCTCAGTTTATTGGGATATCGTTGTTGATAATAATTTCTAATAATTGTTTCTGTTTCCTTGGTGTTAGTCGTGATCTCTCCCCTTTCATTCATAATTTTATTAATTTGGGTCCTTTGTCTTTTCTTTTGGATAAGTCTGGCCGGTGGTTTATCAATCTTACCAACTTCTAGTTTCATTGATCTGGTCTACTGTGTTTTTGGTTTCTAATTCATTGATCTCTGCTCTAATTGTAATTATTTCTCTTCTAATGCGTGTCTTAGGCATCATTTGTTGCTTTTTCTCTAGTTCTTTAAGGTGTAGGGTTAGTTGGTGAATTCGGGATTTTTCTATTTTTTTGAGCAAGGCTTGGATGGCTATGAATTTCCCCCTTAGGACCGCCTTTGCAGTATCCCATAGGTTTTGGACCGATGTGTTTTCGTTCTCATTGATTTCCATGAGTTGTTTAAGTTCTTCTTTGATTTCCTGGTTGACCCAAACATTTTTGAGCAGAGTGGTCTTTAGCTTCCAAGTGTTTGAATTTCTGCCAAATTTTTTCTTGTGATTGAGTTCCAGTTTTAAAGGACTGTGATCTGAAAATATGCAGGGAATAATCTCAGTCTTTTGGTATCGGTTGAGACCTGCTTTGTGACCCAGTAGGTGGTCTATTCTGGAGAATGTTCCATGTGCGCTCGAGAAGAATGAGTATTCTGTTGTCTTAGGGTGGAATGTTCTGTAAATATCTATGAGGTCCATCTGGTCCAGTGTATCATTCAACGCTCTTGTTTCCTTGTTGATTTTCTGCTTAGATGATCTGTCCACTGCTGAGAGTGGACTACTGAGGTCTCCTACAATTAGTGTATTGTTATCAATATGACTCTTTAGTTTGGTTAACAGTTGGCTTATGTAGATGGCTGCTCCCATGTTGGGGGCATAGATATTTACAATTGTTAGATCTTCTTGTTGGATAGACCCTTTAAGAATGATAGAGTGTCCTTCTGTGTGTCTAATTACAGACTTTAGTTTAACATCTAATTTGTCTGATATAAGAATTGCTGTCCCAGCTTTCTTTTGAGGTCCGCTGGCATGGAAGATGGATCTCCATGCCTTCACTTTCAGTCTGGATGTATCTTGAGGTTCAAAATGAGTCTCTTGTAGGCAGCATATGGATGGGTGCTGTCTTTTTATCCAATCTGCAACCCTGTGCCGTCTTCTGGGAGCCTTTAGGCCATTCACGTTGAGGGTGATTATTGAAAGATATGAATTAATTGTCCTCATGTTGCCTGTGAAGACCTTGTTTTTATAGATTGTCCCTGTAAATTTCTGTTGTATATCACTCTTGGGGTCTTTCTCCTTTTATAGGACCCCCCTTAGTAGTTCTTGCAGGGTCGGCTTAGTGGTCACATATTCTTTCATTTTCTGCCGGTCGTGGAAGCTCTGCATCTCTCCATCCATTCTAAATGACAGCCTTGCTGGGTAAAGTGTTCTTGGCTGCATGATCTGCTCCTTTAGTACCCTGAATATGTCTTGCCAGGCCTTTCTGGCTTGCCAGGTCTCTGTGGATAGGTCTGACGTGATTCTGATGTTGCTCCCTTTGTACGGAAGGAATCTCTTCCCCCTAACTGCCCTTAAGATGGTTTCCTTAGTTCTAGATTTCTGAGTTTCAGTATTATATGCCGGGGTGTTGGCCTGTTTTCCTTGATCTTGGGAGGGGTCCTCTGTGCCTCTAGGATGCGAATGTTTGTTTCAATACCCAGATTAGGGAAGTTCTCAGCTACGATTTGCTCAAATACACCTTCTGGTCCTCTCTCTCTCTCCACTCCCTCTGGGATTCCAATTATTCTGACATTGGAACGCTTCACGGTGTCACTTATTTCTCTGCTTCTATTTTCATGGATTCTGAGTTGTTCTTCCCTGGCCTCCTCTTTTCCCTTTTTATCTATTATATTGTCTTCCAGGTCGCTTATTCGTTCTTCTGCCTCAGTTACCCTAGCTGTTAGATTATCTAGATTGGATTGGATCTCATTGATAGCATTTTTAAATTCTGCCAATTCAGCTTCCATGTCTGCCCTTAGAGACTCTATGTTGCCATTCATTGATTTCTCCATTCTAGCCACTGACTTCACAATTGCTAGCCTGAATTCCACCTCCGACATCTTGGTTCTATCTGCATCCATTTGTAAATCTGTGGCATAAGTCATGATCTCTGAGTCTTTTCTATTTTGGGGGTTCCTCCTCCTAGTCAGTCTGTTGATGGGTGTTTGAGGGAATGTATAGAGTCCAAATTATTGACCAGAACGCAAGCAAGATGCAACTGTATTCTAGGGACCTTAGGGTTGCTGGCCTCTTGTTTTCCCAGCCTGTCTCCTGGGGGAGGGGCCTGCCGCGCTGTTACTCAGGCAACCGTTTGGGCGGAGTTGCCCTGCCCCCTTGTGGGGGGAGATAGGCTCAGCGGGAATCAGTTTTTGGGGCTTTTGTCCTCTGGCGGCTTTCCCTGGCAGCTTTCCGAATCTCTTCCGGGAGTCAGAGCAGAAGAGACCGTTTCCAGCCCCTGCCTCAGAGCAGAGAGATCGCAGTCTGATCTCAGTGAGCTCAGGCCACACCGTCTCCGTTTCTGTCCGTGCTGCTATAAACTGCAGTGGTGTGGGTTGTGCGCCCCTCCGCAGCGCCCCCAGTCCTGCCTCCAGGTTAGGGCACGTCTCTGCCCTTTGTGCTTCTAAAACCGCCAGCTGCCCCCAGATCGCAGGCGAGACCCTGCCACTCCGGGTTTCCGCCCCCGGGGCTGCCCTAAAGTCCTTTCCCCGCCTCGACCGGTCTGTGAGTCTGTGCCCGGTCCCCAGTGCGTGAGGCTGTCGCTCACCGGCGGTGTAGGATCCCCACGGCCAGGCTCCCTCCCACTGCCGTTTATCCTCCGGTATCTGCCCGTGGAATCAGGGCTCCCCGCTTCGTACCGCAAAACCAACCGCCCGCAATATTCTGTTTGTAGAGGTCCACATCTTCTTACATCTCAGGCTGGTTTCGTGGGTGCTCAGAGTGGTCTGGTAGGTATCCAGCTCAATTCCGGGGACCAGTTGGAATAGGGTCCCCCACTCCTCTGACATCTTTCATTCCTTCTCGGGATTCACTACATTTTAAAACTTCTTGGCTCTTTGGGGCGCCTGGGTGGCTCAGTTGGTTAAGCAACTGCCTTCGGTTCGGTCATGATCCCAGGGTCCTGGGATTGAGTCCAGCATCTGACTCCCTGCTCAGAGAGGAGCCTGCTTCTCCCTCTGCCTCTTTCTCTCTCTCTGTCAAATAAATAAATAGAATCTTAAAAAAAAGAAGCCTCCTTGGCTCTTTTTCCTTCAGATATGTTTTCAATCACCCTCTACGTCCCCACCTTCTCTGCCTCACTCTAATTACACATCTTTAGGTGGAGTGACGCTGTCCTCCCTGCATTGAGGTTTTCTTTAATTTTCCCAGCTATTTCACTCTGTGTTTCGACAGTCTCAATTCCTGTGACATCAAGGTGACTAGTTTCTTCTCTTGCAGCACCTAATCTGCTGTCAGTCTCATCTCTGTATTTTTACATCTCAGACTTATGATTATCATTTAGGGATGTTTTAAAAGATTCGGTCTTTGAAACCTGTCTTCTCTATCTGCTCCTACCATATTCAGATATTCATGCCCTCACAGCTACAGATTAACTCTAGTGGTAATAAATGTATCCGTATCCTCTGCCGAGCCACCTCCTGCAGAACCCGTCTGAAGGGGTGTGAGGAGGGTCAGCCTGGGGACCTCAGATGTGGGAACCTGGGCCAGACCTGCTCCTGCTCTGTGCACAGGACTCCTGGGGCTGGAGGAGAGTGTGACACAGACGGGGAAGGGGTTTGTGTCTCACTTCCCCATCTGCCTGTGTCACCGTGAGCATCAGCACTGCTGTCCCACATCTGACAGTAATAGTCAGCCTCGTCCTCGGCCCGGGCCCTGCTGATGGTCAGGGTGGCCGTGTTCCCCGAGTTGGAGCCTGAGAATCGGCCAGGGATCCCTGATGGCCGCTTGCTATCCTCATAGATAACTGTCACGGGGGCCTGGCCTGGCTTCTGCTGGTACCATTGTGTATAGTATTCACTCAGTGTGTCTCCAGAGCAGGTGATGGTAGCCGTCTGTCCCAGGGACACTGACACCGAGGGAGACTGAGTCAGCCCACTGGAGGCCATGGAGCCTGAAAAGACAGAAGAGGAGAGGTTGGTGTGAGGTTCAGGGGCTCATCCCAGGTGTCCAATACTGAGCCTGTGCCGGCCCAGCTCAGGGTTCACTTCAGACCCCGCTCAATCCTGATGGGGCTGAGTGTGTGGCCCGGCTCGGGGTTGGGGAGGCAGCACCTGTGCAGAGAGTGAGGACGGGGAGCAGGAGAGCGGTCCAGGCCATGTCTTCTGGGGGAGGGGCCTGCCGCCTTGGGATGTGCCCAGAGCTCTGCCTCCTGAGACCCACAGCACTGCTGGGCTCCACCCCGGCCTCTCTTATTCCCTTCCAGGCCCTTGGGTCTGTGATTGGTAGTACTTATGCAAATTTCCTCCATATCTGCGTCTCCTACTTGATAAACCAGGGGTGAGATCAGAACATGTGACTGAGGAGGAAGAGGGCTGCCCCCACCCTGAAAGCTGGGGGATCCCCTGTTCCACCAACCAGCTTTCAGGTCAGACCACTAGCCTTTGTCTGCAGGGCCTGGGATCACAAGCACCTTCCGGGGCTCAGACCCTATGACAACCCACAGCGACCACCCTGCTTGCAGTCTGTGCTTGGCTCCCACTCTGGTCTTTCAGGAGCCTGGCCATGGGGCTGGGCTGGGCCCTCTGAGAGTTACTGACAGCACTTGATACAGGGAAGGTGGTCCCGTGGCCTCATTACATTCCTCGTCCTCCTGCGTGGTGTCCCCACTGCGTCCCCCAGAGGCACTGTGGTCCCATGCTTCCCATGTCATTAGATTGTGGAACTTCCTCATTAGAATTTTGTGTGTCATTTTGTCTGTGGGAGTTCACTAGTTAACCCACCACCTGCTGTTGGAGACTCATCCCATCTTCTAGTGTATTGTCACGTGGTGTTTTTATTTCTGTGACACCCCGTATCCTACAACAGAAAATAGTCAACAATTTTCTTTTAGTTTTTTTCATCAGTATTAGATACAATCATGCAAATTTCATGAGAAACCATCCCCGAGTTCAAAAACCACCATCAAGCTCCATGTCTTATCGGGGTCCCCAGGGTTATGTCTTCCCCCATGGGGTGAGCTTTGGAGCCAGAGCCAGGGTCCCTGCCGGAGCTGGATCCTGTCACTGATGCATGGACAGCTCAGGGACCAGAGCTGCGACCTCAGGTAGTGAGAATCCCGTCACTCCGGAGACAGACTCACAAGGAGGCTGTGGATGTTCCTTCCAGCCACCAGGGGCTCCGAGGGCTCCCCCTCCCAACCCCTGAGACCCTCTTGAACAAAGAGGCTATACCCTGGGACCGACTCCGCCTGGAGGTGGGAAACAGAGGCAGAAGGTGAGTGGTCAGGGTGTTCTCGACGGGCCCGGCTTGGATGAGTCCGCTCCCGGAACCCTGGTGCACAGTGCAGGGGGCTGCATTTCCCATGTGAGGTGCTCACTGTGTCGCTTCCGTCAGTGTCCTGGGGGTCACTGTGTGTCTGACCCTCAAAGCAAGGTCCTTCAGCCCCTGGAGATAGGAGTGATCATCCCTACTTCCTTCTGAGGACTGTGCGCTGGACCCCTGCTGACCCCCGGGCCTGGTGTCCCCGTGAGGCTCCCCCTGGGCAGCCCCAGCCTCTGTTCTGGGGCTCCTGACGCAGCCCTGCTGCCCCCTGCTGGTGGAGGAGGCTCAGCCCAGGAGCTTCCCTCCTGCAGGTGCCCCCACAGCACCTGTCACCTGAGGAAGAGTATGGCCCAGGGTTTCCTGCCCCCCACAGGCAGCTGCCCCCCCGGCCCTGCCCAGCCCAGCACAGACATGTCACATACACCATTCAAGAGGCAGGATAGGTTCAATTCCCGTGCTTGTCCCAGGGTAAATGCCTTGGCCTCGCCCGCTGGCTTGTTAGAAAAAAGAGAGTTCGGGGCACAGTGTAGTGTATCTGAAAAGGTTAATGTCCAGACAGACCTGTGTGATGTCCACCGCCACCAGATTCCTGTGGATTTAGGAATCAAGACCGATGCTTCCTGCATCCCCATCAGAGCAACAGGTGTGCTTCTGGTGCTAAGTTTTGTTGAAGAGGAAAATCTTTAATTACTCTTATTCCCGAGATCTTTATTACTATTTCATTACAACTCATATCCCGTGGAGAATAGTGTGGGAGGATTTTCTTTTCTTTTTCTTTTTTAATTTTTTTTGATGTAGTGTTCCCTGATTCATTGTTTGTGCATAACACCCAGTGCTCCACGCAGAACGTGCCCTCTTTAATACCCATCACTGGGCTAACCCATCCCCCCACCCTCTCCCCTCTAGAACCCTCAGTTTGTTTCTCAGAGTCCATAGTCTCTTATGGTTCGTCGTGTGGGAGGATTTTAAACTACTCTGTCTGTGGTTTGGTGAAATTGGGAAACTGCTAATTCAGCCATGGATACAATTGCATGTGACGCAGGGCACTGGGAGGCTGAAAACATTTCTTGTGTACTCACAGAGGCGACAGACTCCAACACCACAGGTAACTCACTGAGACCCCACTGCGCCTGCCGAATTAATTAAACCCTTCAATATTTTGTATCATTTAATTTGGCAAAGAGTGTTTTTCACATCAGTAGAAATTCCCCATTTCACCGCAGGTAAAGTGAGTGCCCAGAGAGGCTAGCTTCCCAGGAAAATGAGAGTGGGGCAGGTCCGGGACTGGAGCTCAGGTGTGCTGGATTCAGACCGTGGGCTCTCTGGGGCAGAGCTGGACCAGGGTATGACTGCCCTGCTCTGGTTGTGGAGCGTGTGTCATGGCTCTTTCTGACTCCTCCTGGCAGGGATTCAAAGTAGGGGCCCTGCCTGAGGTGTGTCATGATGTCTATCACGGGGCAATCGTGTGTCTACCACACAATTGGGGTAAGCAGGAGTGTACGGATTCAGGAGATTCTCTAGTATATCCTAGGACTGTGATTCCAGTCAGAAATTCACCACAATCCAATTCAGCAGGTCAGATAATGGATCCACCTTCTGGAATGAGGGTTTGGTCGTCCCAACCGGTGAGGATCAAAACTAGCTCAGGAATTTGCTGAGAGAGGAGATTATGGAGTATGCAGTGAAGAAGGTGATTATAGATACCACACTAACCACTGGGTAGTGGCAGAGATTGGCAGGATAAACTAGCAAGTGTGTCTTTCTTATGTTGACATGAATATGTTTGGACATCTTTTAATCATATGTTTCTGTTCTCTTGTCATGATTCATCCCATTAACATCTTACATCCGATGTGTTAAGAATAGTTCACTTTATATCTCAATATTGAAGTTGTAGGATATCAAATCAGGTGGGTCAAAAATAAATACCACTAGCAAACAAAGACGTATTTCGTATCCTCTTGTGGGGAAATGGTGAGCATGTTTGTAATTGTTCATGGGATAGTTTTATGATGTTAGGTGGAAACATGGCTGACAACATTCTCTATTTGGAGGCATAGGTTAGTGGGGATCTTGTTAGATTTCATGTGGATGAAGGGTTTCCTGTGATGTCTTATTAAGTGTCACTGTTGACAGGCTAAGCTGTGTTTCACAGTATTGTTGCCTTTCCATATTTCTGGGTAGGGTGGGGGTAAGGAGAGAATCTTGAAAAGATTTGGAGGTTAGAAGTGAGGCAGCCTCCATTGTGTGTCTCCCTGCCGCGGTTGTGTTTCTTGTGGCCACCGTGTCGGCAGCGGCAGCTGCCCCATCGTCCCCATTCACCATCAAGATGGTTGTGACTCTCCAACTGCCTTTTAAAACCTGGAGCACCTAGTGTGTCTGGATCTTTTCCCATTGTATAAAAGTACAAGGAACTATCTGATCTGTCTAGGAATTAGACAAGCACATTGGTGATCTGGGGGAGAAACCCCAGCTTTGTGGGTACACAGTGGCCTCCTCAAGTCCCCGAAAACCCTGTTGGGGATGCCGGCCTTCCTGCACTGGGTTCCTGGCAGCAGACTCTGAGATGGAGAAGCGCATGTGCAGGAAATCTGAAAGGAGTTGGGGAGGTCAGACCGGGCAAAAGGAGAAGAGACACACAGTGAGACAGCAGGGGAGGCCTCCTTCCTGCAGGAAGCTCTAAAGCTGGGACCTTTCAGGACATCTGAACGTGGGCAAGCCTGTGGGATCTTGGACTGAGGCCATCATTCCACTAAACCTCTCTGAATCGGGGCAGAAACCTGGGGAGGCAGATTTCTGAAACACAGTATTTTCCTGTGAGGAGCTCCCTTGTGAGCCTTGAAGGCCCCCTGCAGGGGTGTGTGGGTGAGAGATCTCAGTAGGGGGGATGTAGGTGACCCCATAGTGTCCACTGCACTTGTCTGCTCCGCTCAGAATTCCAGCCACTATGAACCAGGATTTCAGGAGTGCGGCTGAGCTGGGGATTTCTGGGTTCGTAACCTGGTCAGTTGGGCGAAAATGTAGCCCAGTGACCACAAGATGGAAATGAGAGTGTCTGTCTTTCCATCCACTCAGGCCCTCGGTCCCTGATTCATACCCAAACTGACAAGGAGGGCAGCCTAGTCCTATCAGGCCTCAATGCACTCACGAACCTCCCTGTAGAGAGCCTGTCGGGAGGGTTGAGGGGAGAGGGAACCCTGGGTTTCACACATATGGGGACCAGGGTCTCTTCTGCTCCCTGCTCTGTGCACCGGCCTCCTGGGGCTGGAGGAGAGTGTGACACAGGCGGGAAGGGGGTTAGTGTCTCACTTCCCCATCTGCCTGTGTCACCGTGAGCATCAGCACTGCTGGCCCCCGCCAGACAGTAATAGTCAGCCTCGCCCTCGGCCCGGGCCCCGCTGATGGTCAGGGTGGCCGTGTTCCCCGAGCTGGAGTCCGAGTATCGGTTGGGGATCCCTGAGGGCCATCTGTTGCTGTAGAAGATGATCAGCACGGGGGCCTGGCCCGGCTTCTGCTGGTACCAATAAGCATGTTTACTTCCAATGCTGTTTCCCCCACGGGTGATCCTGATTGTCCCAGAGCCACTGAAATGCAAGCGCGTTGATTCAGCACATGGGAGACCACGGAGCCTACAGTGAGAAAAGGAGAGGTGCACTTCCAACTTTGGGTCTCATCCATAGGAAACCTCCACCTGCCTGACCTGGACTGAGCTGCAAGGGTTCTCTGGACCCCTAGGACTGACCTCTCCCAGCAGTCTCAACGCACGGTGCCCAGGGGCCAGGCTGGTGGATGGAGCCTTTGAACAAATGGGACCCCCCCCGCCCCTTTCCCTTTGTATGTGCAGCCCCTCCCTCAGGGCTCACACAGGGCCAGTGAGCACAGTGGGGGATTTCACCCCTCCAGCCCCTCATCCTGCAGCAGGCTCATGAGCATCCTGTCCCTAACCGGCAGCCTTCTGTTGAACACAGAATCAAGGCCCAGCATGTCCCAAATTCGTGGGGCTGGAGTGGTTGTGAGCCTGGACTCAGCACCTGTGCAGTGAGCGAGGAGGTGGAGGAAGAGAGGGGTCCAGGCCATGGTGGGAGCACCCTGATTCTGCTCCTGAGGTCTGAGGCTGGGCAGGTTTCCTCCCAGGCCTCTCTTATCCCCTTGCTGGACAAACATGTTGTTCATCCAAATCAGCTGGGGCTCGGGGGCTGCCTCTGAGGAGCCTTGTGGGTTCCCAGAAGGGCTCAGTCCCAAGAGACACAGAGAGGGGTGTGGCAGCCCCTGCAGGCCCACCCTCAGCCCAGGGGATTCTGCTTCACTCTCTGATCCCATAGTTTGGCCTGACACCTCCACCCCAGGTTCTGTCCTGTTTTACTCCTGGGTGACAATAGGAGGGTTGGGTCAGTGCAGCGTCCTACCCCAGATCCCTCTTTGTAAGCATCAAAGCCGAACAAAATTCCTCCCTTGCCAAGGGCCCATAGAGCTTTAAGTAGCCCTTGAGGTGCTGTAAGTATCTATCCTTGGGGAGAGCTCCTGGGCTAGGTCTTAGATGTTGTGCCTCAATATCCCCAGGGCGCCCTCAGTACCAGAGACAGACTCAGTGCTTGAGTAAGATTTGGCAGTGACTGAGTGTAGCAGGAATGGGGTCGGGTGGGGAGGCCTGAAGTCCTGGATCTGTGCTAGAGAGAGAGGCAAATTCTACAGGACACAGATCTGAGAGACCCCGAATCAGAATTTTACAGCAGTGTCAAGGTGATACTGTAGAAAACCTATACCTTTTCGCTCACGTCTCAGGTCATGGTGACCCACCCTCCCTCTCAGAACCCTTGATGCCCAGACCCTCCCGATCTGCAGGTGCTTTGACAGGTGATCTCTGCTGCCGCCTCCTGGCCACTCCACACTGGCTGCTGGAGGCCCAGGGGAGTCCTTTGCACAGGTGGAGGTTCAGAACCCACTGCTCAGACCCTGATTCCCTGATCCGTGGACGTTTGGCTCCATGCATTAAAAACTTCCTGACAAACTAAGATGATAAAAAACAACCAATTAATAAAACAACGATAGAAGAACCTGTGCAGTGTTGGGTGATGTGCAGAGAATGAAGTGACATCAGACAAAATGACAGGCAGGGAGGGTGTGGGGAGAGGTTGGAGGAGACTTCTCTGCGGAGGGGACTGTGGGGCTTCTGTCAGGATGGGAAGCAGGGACAAAACTGAAGTGTGTTTGGAGTCAGTCCCTGCGGGGAAGAGTCTGGTTGGTGTGAGGATGCAGGGACCGTGAGGACCTTAGATGTCTGTGATTCAAAACTAGTGGAGCTCCAAGGTGACATTTTCTCATCCGTTAAAAACTCAGTGGCAGGATGAAAAGGAATGAGATCTTGCCATTTGCAACAATGTGGATGGAACTGGAGGGTGTTATGCTGAGTGAAATAAGTCAATCAGAGAAAGGTATGCATCATATGACCTCGCTGATATGAGGAATTCTTAATCTCAGGAAACAAACTGAGGGTTGCTGGAATGGTGGGGGGTGGGAGGGATGGGGTGGCTGGGTGATAGACATTGGGGAGGGTATGTGCTATGGTGAGCGCTGTGAATTGTGCAAGTCGAATCACAGATCTGTACTTGTGAAACAAATAATGCGACATATGTTAAGAAAAAAGAAAAAGAAGAAGATAGCAGGAGGGGAAGAATGAAGGGGAGTAAGTCAGAGGGGGAGACGAACCATGAGAGACGATGGACTCTGAAAAACAAACTGAGGGTTCTAGAGGGGAGGGGGGTGGGGGGATGGGTTAGCCTGGTGATGGGTATTAAAGAGGGCACGTTCTGCGTGGAGCACTGGGTGTTATGCACAAACAATGAATCATGGAACACTGCATCAAGAACTAAGGATGTAATGTATGGTGATTAACATAACAATAAAAAATTAAAAAAAAACCCTCAGTGGCAGGAGTGATGTGTCAGAATCCGCATGCCGTATATTTCCAGGGAAGGTGAACCACGAGAGGAGCCCTGTGTGAACCTCCCTGCAAACTGAGTGGGAAGCAGGATCCAGTTTGTAGCTGACAGTCAGACTGGCTTCTCTGAGGCTCACCTGTGTGTGTGTGTGTGTGTCCACATGACGTCAAATTCCTGCCACACACTCCTTTAAATTACATATTTACACACATACACATATATGAGTATACTTGTGAGTGTGTGTGCACATATACACTAATTGTGTCTGGGATAAGTTCTCTTACAGATGTATGTATGGAGCCCAGGTGTGCTGGATTCAGACCTTGAGCACCTCGGGGCAGAGCTTGACAAGGGGAGGAGAGTGGAATAGTGAGGGAGTGTGAGGCCAGGCTGGGCATCAGGGCTTCTGTCCCCGACTCACTACCAGGTCCTGGTAGGTCTATAAAGGAGCCCCCTCAGGCTGCACATGGAGCGGGTCAGTGTGTTTGTGTCCCAAGTTAGAGCTGGAGAATCTGTGGGGACGGTGGAGGCTGTTTGGTTTTGTGGGTCCTGGCCTGGGTCCTGCTGGCTCTGCTCTGCATTATTGCTTGGTCCTCTCTTTTCCAAGTTTGAGGGAGTGACAGGCTTCTCCTGGCCGCTCTCCAGTACGTACCCGAGTCTTACGAAAGATACAGGGCGTGCAGGTTCCGGAGACTGTCGGGCTCATTCTCTGGGTCCACCTCCTGCAGCACCTTCTGGGCTGAGCTGAGGGTCGAAGTCATGCTCAGGGTCCTGTGGGGGCTGAGCCTGTGGGCAGGGCCCCAGGGGTAGCTCCTGGGGAGGGAGTGAGCATGGGGAGCAGGAGAGGGCCCAGTCCCCCATAGTGGGGACCCCCGAGTTCTGTCTTTTGAACCCCCGGCTGAGCCTGGCTCTCCCAAGCCTCCCTCATGTCCTCACTGGTCCTTGTGAAAATGCTCCTCAGGCTGGTAGAGAGAATCTCTGGGCTTCTGGGCAGGCTTCACGGATCCGGTTCATGTGGAGCTCTGCTCCCCTATTGGCTCCATGGGGAGCTCTTGTCACTGTGTGTTTTAACGTCTTAAAGAGCTGAGTGAATAGGGGCATGTGGATATTTCTGATATCCATTCTCATGCAGTATGCCCTGTGAATATTTCTTCTTTTCTTTCGTGTGTAAAATACATAACAGAAAATGTCCCATCCTATTATTTTATAAACATTTTTAAAGAGTTATTTATTTATTTGAGAGAGAGAGCATTGAGCAGTGGGGAGGAGCAGAGAGAGCAGGAGAAGCAGGCTCCCCACTGAGCATGGAACCCAGTGTGGGGCTTGATCCCAGGACCCTGGGATCATGACCCAAGCCAAAGGCAGAGGCTTAACCTACTGAACCCCACAGGTGATCCCTTTCTAATTAATATTCAGGCTCAATACATCTTCCAGATTTCTTATCTGTTCCCTGAGAATGTTTCATGTCCCACATCGTGGAGCAGAACTGGTGGGAATTGTCCTGAAATTTTGCTTAGATTTTAGAGTCATTTCATATACTGTAGGGTTCTTATTTGTAGCAACTACTGGGCTGTTGCTGTGAAACTCAGTCGGACAATCTCTGTCTCAATCGTGGTGTAGACCGTTTCCTGCATGTGATTAGTATCATCGTTTAAATATAGCATCCGTGTATTTATTTTCTATTTGTCCCATGTGTTCTTTGTTCCCTCTTTCCATTGATCTGTTTTTAAAAAACTAATGGAACAATGTTTATGCTTCTGTTCTTTTGGCTTTTAATTTTTGGTTTTTGTTTTTGCTTATGAGCTATTAGTTCTTGCTGTCTTCTGACCAGTGACTTGTAATAATCTGCATTCTGGTGATGTTATACCATGTTCCATGGAATATAAGAACCTGACGATGCACTATCTTTTACAGATATTAACTGATAAATCCTATCATATTTATCTATATAGTTCTGATATCTGATACTTACCATAACTTTGTATAGATTCACATTTCCCTCTGTCACCCTTTCCTTCTGTCCGAGGGGTGTCCTTTACTGTCGCTTGTGCTGAGTCTCTGCGGGTGATCCGTTCTGGGATCGTTACAGTCTGAGAAGGGTTTATTTTCAATGACATTTTCCCTGGGTAAACATCAAAGTTGACAGGTATTTTCTCTTCGTACTTTGAAACCAATTCTCCGCTGTATTCTTGCTCACATGGCTTGTAATGAGAAAGGTGCTCCCACCGCGATGCTGGTTTGTCTGTAGCAACTGGTCTCTCCTCTCTGGCTGAGAGAGCATCTGCATCACTGGTTTGTAGCCATTTCATTACCATGTGTGCTGGGCTGTCTCTCATGTTCCCTTGTCAGAAGTTTGTTGACTTTTGGATATACTGGCTAAATGGTTTCACCAAACCTGGAATGTTTTGGGTATTATTTCTTCAAATGTTATTCTATTAAGCACTTGCTCCCCATCTTCTCTCCCTCAGTTACTCTGAGTACACACTTGAGGCTGCATGAAGTTGTCTTAAGCACACTGATCTTTATTCATTTTTTTCCAGCTTTACTCTTTCTGTTTCAACTGAAGAGTTTTCATTGCCATGGAATCAAGTTCACTAATCTTTCTTTTTCAGTATCAAATAGGCTGACAGCATCGCAAGTGTTTCAGATCATGTCACTGACATTTAGGGATGTTTGAAAACATTTGGTCTTTAAAAAATATCTTCCATGTCTTCTTCTCACAGGGACAGTCTTTCGTCCCACCCACAGTCACAAATGAAACACAGTTACTATTACTGTGCGCATTTCCTCCCCTGATCCATCCCCTGAGGAGCCTGCCTGGGTGGGCTGGGTGGGGAGGGAGGTCTGGGGATGTTAGATCTGGGGACCTGGGTCAGACCTGCTCCCTGCCCTGCGCACAGGCCTCCTGGGGCTGGAGGAGAGTGTGACACGGATGGGGAACGAGTTTGTGTCTCACTTCCCCAGCTGCCTGTGTCACCGGGAGCATTACCATTGTTGTCCCACACCTGACAGTAATAGTCAGCCTCGTCTTCGGCCCGGGCCCCGCTGATGGTCAGGGTGTGTGTGTTCCCTGAACTGGAGCCGGAGAATCAGTCGGGGATTCCTGAGGGCCGGTTGCTATCCATATAAATGACCATCACAGGGGTTTGGCCTGCCTTCTGCTGGAACCATTGTGTATAGGATTTGCTCAGTATCTCTCCGGAGCAGGTGACTGTAGTCGTCTGTCCCAGGGTCACTGACACCGAGGGTGGCTGAGTCAGCACACAAGAGGCCACGAAACCTGCAAGAGAGAAAAATGAGCTGGGCTGAAAGATGAAGGACACATTTCCAGGAAATTCCTTAAGCTGCCTGGCCTGGATTGACCTCTAGGGGCTCCTTAGGCTCCTAGTACACCCCCTCTTATCAGTCTCAGCCCCAGGGGCTTATAGGTCGGGCTGCTGGATGGAGCCTTTGAACAAATGAGAACCTATCCACCCCTTGGTCCCCTCAGGAACATCCCCTCAGGGCTCACACAGAGCCAGTGAGCACAGTGGAGGGATTATATCCTCTAATCCCTCATCCTAAACCAGTGTAATGAGCATCCTGCCCCTCACAGAAAGCTCCCTGCTGAGCTCAGATTGAGACCCAGCCTTGTCTCAGATCTCTGAGGCTGGGTGGGTGTGAGCCTGGGCATAGCACCTGTGCAGTGAGCGAGGACACTGAGGAGGAGAGGGGTCCAGGCCATCCTGGTGGTGTCCAGACTCTGCTACCAAGGCCCAAAGCTGGGCCAATTTCCTTGCAGGCCTGTCTTATCCCCTTGCTGGAGACACCTGTTGGTTATGCAAATCAGCCAGGCCTCAGGGGCTCTTGCTGTGGAACTTTGTGGGTTCAGAGAAGGGCTCAGTCCCAGTGGACACAGAGAGAGGAGGGGCAGCCTTGTCCCATAGTGTGGGGCCCACATCTCATCCCACATTGTGTCCTGGGTTCGCTCCTTGGCTGGCCTGGCCACCTAGACTTCAGAGGTGGAGTGTGTCTTTATTTTCTGTACTCATTCTGTGAGTGACACTTGAGGCTCATATAGGTGCTGGGTCCTATTCCAGATCATAGTGCGTGGGCCACGGAGACCAAATAAAATTCATCCTCTGTCTAGAGCTCATGGAGATCCAAAACCATCATGGTGCTGTCAATGTCTGCTCTTGACTGAGATCTCCTGCAGTGGGTCATAGGGCCTGTGCCTCAGTATCCCCATTTTGCAGTCAGAAGAAGGAGTATATCAGGTGCCAAAAGGATAATTGCCATGTAATACAATGAGAGGGGCCTTCAAAATATAGTAACTCTCAAGGGAACGTTTGTCATAATTAAGTTGTCTTTAGTTGTTGGGAAAATGTATAATAAACATGTTTTTTTGGCAGTCAACTTATTTTATTGATTAATTGATTGATTGATTGATTGATTCCTCTTAGGGATCTTAGCTCTGGCTCAAGTATTTTAAAAATAATGTTCAGGTAGCCAACATATAGTACATCAGTAGTTTTGATGTAGTGTTCAAAGATTCATTATTTGTGTATAACCCCCAGTGCTCATCACAGCACGTGCCCTCCTTGATACCCATCACCTGGTTACCCCATCCCCCCACTCCCCTCACTTCTGTAACCCTCAGTTTGTTTCCCAGAGTCAAGAGTCTCTCATGGTTTGTCTCTCATTCCTCTCTGATTTCTTCCCATTCAGTTTTCCTTCCCTTCCCCTCTGGTCCTCTGCTCTATTCCTTATGGGCCACATATGAGTGAAACCATATGATAATTGTGTTTCTCTGCTTATTTCACTTAGCACAATCCCCTCCAGTTCCATCCATGTCCATTGAAATGGTGGGTATTCATCCCTTCTGATGGCTGAGTAGTATTCCATTGTATATATATGGACCCCTTTTTCTTTATCCATTCATCTGTTGAAGGGCATCTCGGCTTCTTCCATCGTTTGGCTATTGTGGTCATTGCTGCTGTGAACATTGGCAAATGACATTTCAGATAAAGGGCTGCTATCCAAGATCTATAAAGACTTATCAAACTCAAACCCAAAGAACAAATGATCCAGTCAAGAAATGGGCAGAAGACATGAACAGACACTTCTCCAAAGAAAACATACAGATGACCAACAGACATACAAAAAACATCTTAATTTATAAATTAAGTCAAAAAAAGTTTAATGAGATGAGAGACTATGGACTCTGAGAAACAAACTGAGGGCTCTAGAGGGGAGGGGGGTGGAGGGATGGGTTAGCCTGGTGATGGGTTTTAAAAAGGGCACGTTCTGCATGGAAAAAAAGAAATTAATGTATCAAACAAATAAAAGCTAATAAGAATTTGAAATTGAAAAAAAGTTTCATGAGAAAATGACTGTTGCAGGCACTGGGAAAGAAAGGAAAGAACTTAACAGTCCCCTCTCCCTTCCTCGTGGAAGGTAAGTGGAGTGACAGGTGAGGGGGCAGGTGGGAGGAGCTTTCAGGAAGGAGGAGCAGCTATGTCTGGCAGGACATGGGAGGGAGTGGGGAACACGTGATCACAGGGAGGATGAGTGTTTGTGGACAGTGACAGCATTTTGTTTCATCAGGATGGGCTAGGGCAGACGTTGGTGGGGGCAGGGGGCGGTTCACCGGACCTGTATTTGAGAAACAAGCAATGTCTCCATGAGCTGGACCGTACACAATTCATGCTGAAGAATTTGTACTTGAGAGGGAAGCATGTCACTGGAGCTGTTAGAGGCTCTGATGCCCAGGCCCTCCCCATCTGCAGGTGGCTTTGCCAGGTGATCTCTGCTGCCTCTGGTGGCCACTCCACACAGGCAGCTGGAGCTGTAGGGGCCACCCTGGTAAAGGTGTAGATTCCTTTTTTTTTTTTCCTCCAAGATTTGGTTTATTTATTTGACAGAGAGAGACACAGCGAGAGAGGGAACACAAGCAGGGAGAGTGGGAGAGGGAGAAGCAGGCTCCCTGCTGAGCAGGGAGCCCGATGAGGGACTCGATCCCAGGACTCTGGGATCATGACCTGTGCTGAAGGCAGACGCTTAAGGACCGAGCCCCCCAGGCGCACCAAGGTGTAGATTCCTAACCCACAGCTCAGGGCCTGGGTTCTGATCCATGGCCGCTGTGCTGGTGAGGAATGACTTTTCTATGCATGGCTTCTGCCTGCCTCACATTCTGGGATGAAGGGTTGAGATTTTGCATGAACTATGAGGAGACTCATTTGGAGGAGGAGAGTACTGGTTTCACGGAGGCCTCCCTGCACCTTTGTCTGGGGTAGTGGGAGGTCATGCAGGTGGTGCTGCAGTTTAGCACTGGGGATCAGAGGGCTCAGGGGATGGTTCTTATTGGTGCCAACTGTGGATACAGGGCTGATGTGGGTGGGAGGGTGGGGGAAAGACCCAGGGACTAATGTCCCAAGACAGAGACAGGAGAGCATCCACCCAGCACACATTTATCCAGACCACATTGCTCTGGCACACATTCCATCTCGGTAATTCTGCACGAACAAGACACAGTCCCTGCTGAAGAGGGAACTCTGGCGCTGGTCATGTCGGGAAGAGAAGCAGGCAGTGAGACTTGTGAGGGAAGAGCCCAGGCATGTTTTTCGGTGGGGTGGGGAGGATAGAAGACCTGAAGAAACAGGACAAAGCTGAGGGATCTGGGATTCCAACCGAGTTAAGGGCCAGTATGGCGTGTTCTCCTCAGATAAGCATCCTTGGCCCAGAGAGATGCATCAGTTATGGTCAAAGGCAATTTCCAGGTATAAGTCAGGTTTTCTTGGCCACTGCTGGGCACAGAGTGTGGCCTCTAGGAGGAAGCTGCTGGGGTGGGGACAAGGTTGACACAGATGTCTGCTTCTGTGTGTCTTTGATCTCCTTAGTGCTCCTGGGGGGTGAGACACTCAAGGCAGTGGCTCCTATCCCTCCCTCCCCATGACCCACCTAAAGCCACAGGGACACCAGGGTGCTACTCGTGCCTCTGGACCTGTCCCCTGTTTTGTCTCCCATCGATGACCTGCACTGCTTTCCCCAACGTCCACAGACTGGCTGAGCTGAGCTGGAACATGAGGGAGGGGTGCACCTGACCGGGAAGGGAGCCGGCAGAGGAGTGCAGGTCCCCGGAGAGGGAGAGAGATGAGCAGAAGCCAGCAGGTGCAAGGCAGCAGCCATCCCCTGCACCTGCACCGGGTCGAGAGGGGAGGTGGGCCGACCTCAGCCAGAACGTTCCAGGTCCTGAAGGAGACAGCTCCTTCCTCTCAGTTCTGCCCGCTGCCTGTGGGGGGCGCTGCTGCACTTGGCCACAGTGACACCTGCTGACCAGGGAGGTGCCCGCCCATTCCTGGTCATGATGATGAGAAAGCCTCTGGTGGGAATCTGCAGATTATAAGTCCCTGGAGGGACCTTTTCATGATCCTTTAACCTGAAAAATCTCTGGAAATAGTATTTCGGTCATAGGGATTCTCACCAAAGATTGTCTTTCTAGTTCATCAGGTCAATAAGTAATTTTTAGAGGCAACATTGCAATTGTACTTGCCATGCTTTTGTGAGGAGAAAATGATTTTCTGACCTGTGTCTCCCACTGCCATGCCAGGAAGGTATTCCTCTGACGGAAGCCCGGGTGGAATTAGGGGAAACTTCTGCTCTTCCTTCTTAATAAATTCCTTCTCTTTCACTTGGACCTCATGCAATTGCTCTACAAATCACTTTCAAAACCACAAGTCAAAGAATCAGGAAGAGAAATGCCATTTATGTAAAAGATCCATCTAAGTCTTGAAAACGTTCTTTCCCCTCCCAGCTACAGTGAGGCCCAAATGCAGCCGGGACCACCACACAGGGTAACACGGGGGTGGGATCTCTGTGGGTCAGACCTCAGCTAAGGGTCAGACCTGCCCGGTGCAGGTGACCTGGGCCAGTGGGAGGACAGTGGTGCCAGGAGAAAGTCCCCAGGTGGGCCCCAGGGCGGTGTCCGCACTTCCTCCACGGTTTCTGTAAAACCTCAGGAGGGATGACCTGGGGCAGCGGGGGCTGGGTCCCCTCTTCAGGAAGACTCAGGCAGCACTTCGGGATGTGGGAACATCTCACCTGGGAATCAGAGGAGACACAGAGCCCCTGGGGCCCTTCCAGACTGCCTGTACCCAAGGAGAAGAGGAATTCCTGCAGGACTGTGCTGAGACAGGTGTCTCCCCTCTGGAGTGACATTGATTACCTCCGGGGCCCACGTGATGTACAATGACATCCTAAGTCTGTATTATCTTCTGCAAAAGCTGACTAGAGTCCCCATAGTCAGAACACGCCCCCCTCCACTTTGCCGCTGTTCAGTAGGATAAACACAGATCTGAGGACAGAGGGCCTGCTAGAGTCTCCCTCTGGGCCAGGGCCAGGACCAAGGAAGGCCAGGCCAGGACCAGGGAGGACACCTCCTCTTAGGCCTGAGCAGCAGCTGCTCAGAGGGCAGGTGAGAGAGAGAGCCAGACCACGGAGGACAGTTTGTGTCCCATCCCCCATCCTTCTGTGTCACCTGAGTCACTGCCAGGCCTCCCAATGCCACATTAGGTGGCACAGCAATGGTCAGCCTAGTCCTGGCCCTCAGTCTGGTCTTCCTCAGTGGGGCCATGTCCCTATGTTGCATCCTCAGAATTGGGCTTGGCTGGTCCCTCACATCTGTACGTATAACCAGCTCTGGGACCTGGCGTGGCTTCTGCTGGTACCTAGAGGCATGTTCACACCAGAGCTCATCCCCAGGGCAGGGGATCCTGGGCCTGATCAGGACCACGGACATGGAGGGAGTCAGCTTCAGGTCAGGGGAGGCACGGAGCCTGGGAGAGAGGAGAGGAAAGGGTCCTGGAGGAAGACAGGCTGAGTCAGAAGTGACGGTCACAGCCCTGTGAGGGGAGGGGGCAATGTGGATACAGTGAGGGCAGGGCCCTGACCCCTGCAGCCAGAGTGGGAGGGAGAGCAGGGCACCTGAGCCTCACACTGTGCCTCCCTTTGGGCCTCTCACCTGAGCTGGGAGCATAGGAGAGCACCAGTGAAGCCACTTGGAGTGCGGTCCTTGGAGAACGAGCACCATGGGCTGATCTGGGAGCTGTCCACCTGCAGACTTCGGGCCCCAACCAGTCCTGTTGCACCTGCACCTGCATCTTGTGGAGAACCCCCCCCCCTCGCCGGGATGTGTTCTCACTGAACTTCACAGGGTGGGGGTCCAGGCACCGTGGAAAATCTCGCTTCCTCTGCTATCTCCCTCAGTCCAGCCCCGCCACCTGGGACATGGGGCTTAACTGGCCTGCTCTGCTGAAGGGAGCTTGAATCACATTTGAGACCCTGTATGATCTGAATAATTCTTTCAGAATGGACTCTGTCACCAGCCACATGGCGGGTGTGCCCTGGATGGTGATCCGCCGGGGACTATTGACTGCACTGCTCTGGGGGCAGAGACTGAGGCTTGTCTCCTTTTGGCTCGTGGTTTGCGTGGGTCTCGTGGACTTTGTGTGTGCAGCGTAGGACTCTGGTGTCTTCATGCGTGTCAGCGTTGACAGACTGGACTGCATTTCATCCAACTGTTTTCTGTCCCTACTTCTGGGCAGGGTGGGTGTAAAGAAGGATTCTTGTGCAAGATGTGGGGGATCGGAGTAAGGCAGCACCCCTTGTGTGTCTCACTCCCATGGTTGAGTATCTACTGGTCACTCTGTAGGAGGAGGCAACTGTCCCGATGTCCCTCAATCACCATCAGGATGGACCTGACTCTCCAACTATCTGTCAGAACCCAGAACACCTAGTGTGTCTGGATATTTTCTCCACGTATAGAAATAGAAGAAATGATCTCATCTGTGTGGAGATTGGATATGCACCTTGAGGATTTGGGGGAGAGACCCCAGCTTTGTGGCTGTATATAGTGGCCCCCTTTGTTCCCTGGGGACTGTCTCCAGGATGCTGGCCATCCCAGATTAGGTTCCTGGAAGCTGACTCCGAGACAAAGAAGTGCGTGTGTAAAAACCTGGAAGGAGAAACGATATCAGGCTGGGCAGAAAGAGAGCGACCTACAGAGAGTGAGCCACCAGTTGAGGCCTCCTTTCTGCAGGGAGGTCTACAGCTGGGACCTTTCTGGACATCGCAACCTGAGGCAGGGCCTTGGGATCTGGGCCTCTGGAGATCATTCACCTGAACCTCCCTGAGAAGGGACAGAAACCTGGGGAGGCCGACTGCTGAAGCAACAGCGCTTTCCAGCGAGGAGCACCCGTGTGAGCTGTCAGGGGCTCCGGGCAGCAGTGGGTGGGTGTGTGAGCCCAGAAGAGGGGATGTGGGTGACCCCTCAGTGTGTACTGTACCCATCGGTTCCACTCGGTAGAGGAGGCTCCTCTCATGTCCCCAGGGCTTCAGGAGGTCAGCCGAGCTGGGACGATTTAAGGTCTAATCCTGGTCGGTTGGGAGAGCATTAGCCCACGACCACCACATGGAAATGATGAGACATTGACCAGTGGACAAAAGTCTCCCTGTGTCTTTTTTCTCCCCAGGCTGTCTGTCCCCAGTTCACACCCGAGGCCAGAGAACCAGGGCAGGCTAGTGTGGTCAGCTGTAAATGCTCTCCTGACCCTCCGTGTGCAGAGCTGCCTGGAGGGCTGGATGGGGGGGAGGCCTGGGGATCTCAGATGAGGGGACCAGGGTCAGAGCTGCTCCTGGCTCTGTGCACAGGCCTCCTGGGGCTGGAGGAGAGTGTGACACAGACGGGGAAGGGGTTTGTGTCTCACTTCCCCATGTGCCTGTGTCACCGTGAGCATCAGCACTGCTGGCCCCCGCCAGACAGTAATAGTCAGCCTCGTCCTCGGCCCGGGCCCCGCTGATGGTCAGGGTGGCCGTGTTCCCCGAGTTGGAGCCTGAGAATCGGTCAGGGATCCCTGAGGGCCGCTTGTTATCCTTATAGATAATCGTCACGGGGGCCTGGCCTGGCTTCTGCTGGTGCCAGGAAGTATATTTATTCCCAATGTTGTCTCCCCGACAGGTGATGCTGGCCGTCTGTCCCAGGTTCACCGACATCGAGGAGGGCTGAGTCAGCACGTAGGAGGCCATGGAGCCTGCAAGAGAGAAGATGAGAGGTTGCCTTCCAGCCCGGGTGTCATCCCCTGGACACTCCCAGCCCTGGCTTAAGTTCCAGTGATTCTCTAAGCATGATCCCACCCTGCTGCCGTCTTTGTTACTGGGCCCCCTGGGACTGCCTGGTGGATGGAGCCTTTGAACAAATGGGAAACATCCCCTCTTCTCCGGGCAGGCACAGCCCTTCAAGGATCACACGGAGCCGGTGAGCTAGGTGGGGGGATATCACCTCACCAGCCCCTCATCCCACAGCATGGTCTTGAGCATTGTGCACCCCCCACCTCCCCCAACAGACCACTGTTGAGCTCAGAGTCAAGCCAGGATTGTCCCTGAACCCGGGGCTGGGGTGGTTGAGAGCCTGGGCACAGCACCTGTGCAGTGAGCCAAAAATCCGAGGAGGAGAGGGGTCCACGCCATGGTGCAGGTGCCTCGATTTTGCTCCCTGAGGCTCAAAGCTGGGCAGATTTCCTCCCAGGCCTCTCTTATCCCTTGCTGGAGACACCTGCTGGTTATGCAAATCAGCCAGATCTCAGGGCAGCTGCTGTGGACCCTTGTGGTTTTAGAAATGGGCTCAGCTCCAAGGGACTTAGAGATGGGAGGGGAAGCCCCTGCAAACCCTTCCTCCTGCTCAGGCCATTCTCATTCACCCTGTGTTCCCATAGTCTGGGGTCCAAACTCTATCCCTCTCCCTGTCCTGACCTGGCTCCTGGGCACGTGTGGTCACAGCAGGGCTGTGAGGTGGAGTTTGTCTGCATTTTCTGAACCCATCATAGAATGTTTACTCTCTAAGTATGAGAGGATCATAGGTCAGTGTGTGTCCTACCCTTGGTCTATGTTGCTGAACATCAGAAGAACAGAATTCCTCCCTTGCCAGGTGCACATGGAGTTTTAGGGAATCATTGAGGTGCTGTAGGATTCTTTGCCGAGGAAAAGCTCCATGGACAGTTCACGGATGCTGTGCCTCAGTATCCCCAGGGTGCACTCCATGCCAGGGACAGACCCAGTGCTTGAACAAGGATTGACAGTGACTCAGTGTGGCAGGATTGGGGTGGGGTGGAGCGTCATGAAGCAATGGACAGGAGCTAGAGACAGAGACAAATTCCACAGGAGAGAGATAAGAGACCGGAGTCAGAATTTTACATGAGAGTAAAGGTGATGGTGTAGAAAACCTACACCTTTAGCTTCTGGTCTCAGGTCCTGGTACCCAACCCTGCCTGTTAGAACCCCTGAGGCTTTGCCTGGTGATCTCTGCTGCCCCCCAGTGGCCGCTGCGCACTGGCGGCTGGAGGTGCGGGGAAATCCTCTGTCCAGGTGGAGATTCAGAACCCACTGCTCACATCCTGATTGCCCCTGATCCATGCCCTGCTGGCCCCAGGGGAGGATTTCCTCTTCTCTGAGGGGCCCCTGCCGGCCTCAGCACCAGGCAGGAGGAGTCCGATTATCCCTGAAAATAAGAAGAGTCTCCTGTGAAGAGAAGGCAGGGCCCATCTGAGGTATCAGGGCTCATGTCTCTGGGGTGGTAGGTGGTTGTGGGTTTGGTTTGGGGGCTGGGCACCTGAGGACACAGGCCTGAGCACCAGCCTCTTACTTATTCTGGCTGCTGGAGCACCACATAGTGTGATAATGACTCCTGCCAGGGACAGAGACAGGAGGACACCCAACCAAGAAATACTTGTTCAAACCCAGCTTGGTCTTCCATAGCTTCCATCCTGGGAAGTCAGTGTGAACAAGACACAAGTCTTTCCTGGGTTCCTCCTTCAGCGGAGCAGCCTAGGGGACACAGTTTCTTTGGTGAGACAGCACACAGTCCCCAACCCTGTCTGCCTGCATCTTGTCTTCTAGGATCATTGAGAAGCCACACTATTGCGTCTGTCTGGGTCAGCATTAACCCTGTGGTCCAGAGCTAGGCCATCGACATGTCATTCAGCTGGGGATCTTTTTGGGGAGTTTTGTCTGTGAATGGCAGAAACAGACTAGATTTATGTAGTGCTCTTTCTCTTGTACTTGGGTGTGATGGCTGGAGCTGCGGCAGCCATCCTGAAGTCTGTTGTCAAAAACAAGGCAAAGCCAAGTCTCCATAGTAGTGATGATGGTAGAGATAGTGAGAGGATTTGGGACCTCACGGAACTGGTAGTACCTGGAGAACTGCCAACTGACTTCAGACTTGCTTCTGTCTGGGGAAAAAGAGCTGCTTGAATGTTCATGCTTCTGAATGAGATGGGCATGCATTGCATTAAACACTTCCTGCCCAGTTGGGATAATAACGAATACAATTAATTAAATAATGTTATAGAACCTGTGCAGCGTTGGCTGATGTGCAGAGAAATGAAGTGACATCGGACAAAATGACAGGCAGGGAGTGTGGGGAGAGGTTGGAGGAGGCCCCTCCGCGGAGGGGCCTGTGGGGCTTCTATAGGATGGGAAGCAGGGACCAAACTGAAGTGTGTTTGGAGTCAGTCCCTGTGGGGAAGAGTCTGGTTTGTGTGAGCATGCAGGGATGGTGAGGACCCTCGATGTGTGTGATTCAAAACTAGTTGAGCTCCGAGGTGACATTTTCTTATCCGTTAAAAACTCAGTGGCAGGAGTGATGTGTTAGAATCCGCATGCTGTATGTTTCCAGGGAAGGTGAATCACGAGAGGAACCCTGTGTGCCGTGCCCAGCACAGAAGGCTCAGCTCCCCGGGACCTCAAGTGGAGAGACAGGGCCTGGAATTTCCCAGGTGAGCTCCTCACAGTGTCCGGACTCCTCTCAATGTCCTGGGTGACAGTGTGTGAGTCTGACCGTCAGAACAAGGTCCCTGGAGTTGAGGAGATAAGGATGGATCGCCCCTACTTCCTCCTGAGGACTGAACCCTGGACCCTTGCTGACCCTGGGCCTCGTGTCCCTGTGAGGTTCCCCTTGGGCAGCCCCAGCCTCTGTCCTGTGGCTCCTGCTACAGCCCTGCTGCCCCCTGCTGGTGGAGGAGGCTCAGACCAGGAGCCTCCCTCCTGCAGGCGCCCCCACAGCACATGTCACCTGAGCAAGAGTATGGACCAGGGTTTCCAGGCTCCCTCAGGCAGCTCCCACCCCCTGCCCAGCCCAGCCCAGCCCAGAAGGTCACATACTTGGTGCAGGACGGAGGGCAGGTGAGGTTCCTGGACTTGTCCAAGCGTCGAAAGCCCTGGGCTGGCCACTCTTCTTCATACCACAGGGAGAGTACAGGGTAAATTGTAGAGCATTTCTAGGTTTCAGGCTAAGGAAGAAACCTTTGTGAGATCCTGTCAGCACCCCTTTCTCTCCATTTAGGAGTCGAGTCTGTTAGTGTCTGCATGTCAGTGAGTGTCGCTGTGTCACAGTGGACCAGGGAATGCTTCTAGCACACATGCACCAAAATCGTCAAGCATTATTCCTGTCATCTCTGCCTCCACAGTTTCTATTACAACCCATAGCACTAGAAGTCTGGGGGAGGATGGTTTCTACACGTGCCTCTCGGGTGATTTGGATGAAACAGGGAAGTTGGGAATTCAGAGCTGGGTGTGCAATTTCACTTCACACATGTCACACTTGGCCGAGCCCCTTTCCTTGGATTTCTGCAGAGCGGACAAGAGACTCCCAGCCCAGCGCCCCTCACTGAGACCCTGTAGTCTGTTTCATTCATAAAGCAGTGTCAGTGTCATTGAATTTGGAGGGAGGGAGGGTGAGGCCAGGCCGGGCAGCAGGGCTTCTGTCCCTCAGCTCACTGCCATCCCCATCCTGGCCTGGCCTATGAAGGAGCCTCTGCAACCTGCAGGCGGGGAGGGTCAGTGGGGTCGGGTCTCAGGTTAGAGTTGGAGGATCTGTAGGACAGTGGAGACTGGCTGTGCAGGGGCCTGGCCTTGGTCCTTCTGGCTCTGCTCTGTAGTTTTGCTTGGTCCTCTCCGTCCTCCAAGTTGGAGGGAATGACACAGGTATCGTGACTACACTACTGGGGTCAGATGAGTCTTGCATTTGACCCAGGGCCTGCAGGTTCTGGACACCGTGGGGTTCATTCTCTGGGTCCCACTCCCTCAGCACCCTCTGGGCTGAGCTCAGTGTCAGGGTCATGCTCAGGGACCTATGGGGGCTGAGCCGGTGGGCAGGGCCTGGGCAGCTCCTGGGTAGAGATTGCGGAGGGGGAGCAGGAGAGGGTCCAGCTGTGGTGGGCACCCCAGATTTCTGTCTCTTGAGCCCACAGCTGAGGCTGGCCTTACGAAGCCTCCTTTATGCCCTCACTGGTTCTTGTAGAAATGCTCCTTCTCAGGCTGGTGGGGAGAATCTCTGGGCTCCTGGCGGGCTTCCTGGATCCGGTTCATGTGGTGCTGAGCTCACCTCTGGGCTGCACAGGGGAGCTCTGGTCACTCTGTGTTTGAACATCTTAAAGCCCGGGGGTGAGCAGGGAGAGGTGAGGGCATTTATGTCGCTGTTCTCATGAAATGTGCCCTGTGATCCTTTGCTTCCATTTTTGTGAGTGTTTCAAATATTCATGACATGAAATATTCCATCCTAAGTATTTTACAAATTCATCTTCCTAGATTCTCTATCTGTCCTGTGACTTTTCTTATATTCTGAATTGTGGAACAGAATTGAGTGGGAATAATGTCCTGACATTCTCTCGCTTAATGTCCTTTTATTTACTGTAGGTTTCTAATACTGGTGTGCCGCTGTTAAACTCAATTTGACAACATTACCTTTTAATTGTGGTGTTTCCACAATTCCCTGACCGTGAGTAGTAACGTAGTTTATTAGATCACTTCTTGCTGCTCATTTTCTATATATTTCTTCATTCCTTAGTTCTCTTTTTCCATTTATATCTTCTTGAGTGATGGAGCATTTTCTACGATCCATTGTATTCCTCTGTTTGGCTCATTAGCTGTAACTCCTTGCTGTCCTGTCATCTGTGACTCATCAGAGGCTACATTCCTCTGACGCCACACCACGTGACACAGAGCATCAGACATTAGAGCTCACTTCTCTGAGCTGTGGTAGGAAGGTCATACCCATCACTGGTAGCTACATGATAAATTCTACCACATGCAGTGATTCGATTTGCTGTAGACAGTGATTTACTTTTCAAAGAGAGGTAAATCATCAAAGATATTATTCATATTTATCCCTGTAGTTACCATTTCTGACTCTTACATTCATTTTGTAGGTTCGGATTCTTTCTGGAATCACCTCCTCCTGCCTGAGAAAGTCCAGTATTATTTCCTGTGTTATGGGTCTGCTGATGATCAGTTCTGTCACTTTGGTAGAGCTGAAAAATTGTTTTATTTAGCCTTCATTATTGAAGGATATTTTCCCTGGATAAAGAATTAAGAGGCTTTTTGTTTGTTGGTTTTTTTAGTACTTTGAAGATGTTAATCCTCTGCCCTCTGTGTGCATTTCTGCTCAGGAGAAATCAGTCTGAATCCTTGTCACT